CAAATACTATGATGTCAACCAAAAAAGAAACGTCCTTGCAGTTAAAATTTGAGTCTTAGTACTGGAGGTCTCAACTTCAAATCTTGGGATGAGTGAGGAAGAAAAGCGTTATCCCTTATTATATAATTCATCAAACTAACATATCAAAAAGGAATTAGAAAGAAAGGGCTTTCCCTTTCCAAAATTGGCATTACCACCTACACATTATATTCTCCATAGTAAAAGCCTTGAGCTCTTAACCTCTTCCACCTTGTCCATCACCAAATCCTTCCTTTTTCCAATAAATCAAAAATAAGGAGTTTGCCCTCCTGTACTCCAACCTCTACCTAGTTTTTCTTCCCCTAAACCTTCAACCAATTGAAACACATTTTTGTTAGAGTGTGTTGGTTTGTGAAAAGTAACTTCCTGGAAAATATTTCCCCTTTTTTTGCCAACCAAGCTAGTAGGTGATTAGTGGATCCAAGAGAGCTTTACTTTGTTGATATGTATATATAAAAAGGGGAGGGTCCAAGAAAGTTAGGAGCAAATCAAGGATTCGAGTTGCTTGGGAGGTGATTTTAAATTTGGGGTGACTCGGAAGGTCACTCAAGATTTGAGTTGACTTAAGGATTGTTTAAGGTTCACAACAACTCAATAGAGGGCTTGGGGTTTAGGCGAACTTATTGGTGACTCTGAGTTAAAGATGGCCTAAGGATGACTAAGGGTTCTAGATGATTTATAGGTGACCCTAGGTCTAAGACCACTTGAAGCATGATCCAAGTCCAAGTCACGCATATATTCCTTTGCTTGTGGTAAATTTGAAAATTTTCCATCATGAACCAAACATTGGTTATTGGTTAACAAGAAAATATTGGTAACTTTAAAGGTTTAAGGACTTCAAGAAGCATTGAATGAGTATAAGGATGTTCATTAATAAAAGCTAAAAGTACAAGGATGTTAGGAAATTTAGACACAAGACAAAATAACTCTAATTTAATCCGTAATTGTATGGGATAATTGAAATATAGCCCAAAACTTGTCAAATTTCAATGAATGTTAGTCCTAAATTGTTCATGGTGTGACATTAATTGGCCACTGTAAAAACAAAAATTCCATTGCAAACAACTTGATTCATTGTTTCATCTTTCATCCCCATTACCCACATTACCCACAATATATACTGCTCATTTTCAATCATCTTTCAAACTAAACAACATGGAAGCAAGAATTCAAAGAAAACAGAAGATGGAGGGATAGAGCGATGTTTTCTATATTCCATGGAAAGGTGAAGCCAATCGACTAGTTACCCAATTGGAGATGCTAGAAAAATTTGGTGAGTCCGTTCGCCAAACTGCATTTAGCATTGTGGTCAAACTAGTTGGATAAAGAATCAGAATAGATTTTCTTGATGGAGTTAGAATGCTTTCCTCCATTGTGTATAATCACATGGATGGGGAAAACTTGGTTGTTGTGGCTCACTATGACGAGCTTCCGATCAAATCAAGAATCAATTTCGAAATGTTGGGAAATACATTGGTCACAGAGTTGAGGGGGGCCATAGCATTCGCTTCTTTTTCTATCTTCATGAAGGTTCTAGTCTTCCCCTTTCTCCAGATTTTATTACTTTACTCTATTTCTTGATGGTTTTGAAAAGGATTTTACTCATTACTCTATTTTTATCAACTTTACATGTTTTACTTTGTTTCTTGAATTTTAACTATTTCATGAATTGGGTTCTTGAAATGGTTCTTGTTTGGGCAACTTCACAAACTCATGTACTATTGAGGTCCTAAACTTCTCCAATACCTGAAAATCCCAAGGAAATATCCTCAGGGAAGACATCTTGACGCTCAAGTTAGCAATATTCAATATTCTAGAGAAAAAAGCTCTTGAGATTGAAATATTGCAAAAAGAGAAGTGTAGTGGAGTTATTACCTTGCATGGAGGTAGATGGGGGTATTTATAGCCCTCATTTATGACACCTGTGCCACATTTCATTAATTAATTGGTCCATGTGTTAATGAGAACGTGGGTGAACTATTGATACTCTTTTGGGCTTTCCTTGGGCTTCCCTTAGGCTTTTTGGCCAATGTTGGGCTAACTCCCCAACAGTTTTAATCTTTCATTCTTTTAATATATTTTCACAATTTATTCTTCTTGAACTATATTTGATACTTTCTTGAAATAGATTTGGAGATGATAACTTATAGAGAGCATTCAAAAGAGTAAATGAGCAACCTCCCTGATCTCTTCCACAAGATCTAACTTCTCATGAAGTGTTTGTTCATTAACAGCTTCATCAAAATAAGTTGCTCTCTAGTTTGGGAAGCTTATCATAACAGGAATGATTACTTCTATCCCATAGGCTAAGGAAAATGGTGTTTCACCAATAGTTGAGCTACGTATAGTTCTACAAGACCGTAAAAAATAATTCAACTTGTTAACCCAATTTGTTTGATCAACCATAATACGTGTTTTAAGGTCATGCAAGAGAATCTTATTAGCAGACCCTGCTTGGCTATTTATGTAAGGAGTATAAATTGAAGTAAGTACGAATTAAATTCCATAGTCTTCGTAAAATACTTTAAGGGCTGTAGCTTGGAACTGAAAGCCATTATCTGTTATTATGCACCATGGAATCCCTTACCTATATAAGGCAAGATGGGTTAAGCGCTTTTATAAAAAAGAATACATGGGGGCTAAAGTATACCATTGTACTTGCATAAGACCAAGTTGAAAAAAAAATTCCTCCACTGTTTTCTTAGTTATAGTAGACAATGGTTTGGTTTCTATCCATTTTGTGAAATAGTCAATAGCCATAATGAGGTGAGTGCATCCTCCTTTGCCTTTTATTAAAGCTCCAAGTAAATCTACTCCCCATTAAGCAAATGGTCATGGAGAAGTAAGGAAAGATAGCATTTCCCTTGGTTAATAATGAAAAGCAAACTTAGCCATCATAAAAGGTATAATTAACTTCATAGGGCTTAACTATAACAGAGGTAAGGTACTTAGCACGTGAATTTCATTGGCATGGAATAGGTACGTCAGATTAAGGTTGTCAAAATCGAGAGTTTAGGTAAAATCATTTTAGTGAAGTAAAATCGGAATCGTAAAATCGAATCGGTAAAATGAGAGTTTACTAAATTAATTTAAAATTTGTATATTTCTAAAATTTAATATCAAATGTTTAAATTTAAGATTTATCTAAGAAGTTTTATTACTAATTAATTATTTCAAATCTATTTTGAATACTTTTCTATTTTATAGTTATTAAATTATTTTAAATTTTGATAATTTTAACTTCAAAAAAATTTTATAATAAAATATTATTAATTTAACATATAAAAAATTGGCAAAACTTTAAAATTTTTATTTGAAAACTCAAAATTATCAAATTACATGGTCAAGATTCGAACCACCACCAAATAACCCATTAACAATCTTACAAGCATAGCTCCACCAATGCTCTGGTGGTGATTATTAATCACTTGATGACACAAAAATCTATAAAACCTTTTAAATTTGTAAAATCTTGATTTTATCTGATATTACAATTTTATTATGATTTTATGATTTTACTATTCCAAGTTTATGGAATCCTGATTTTGATTTCGATTTTACACGAATTACATATGTAAAATCATAAAATCGTATGATTTTACGATTTTACTCGCGATTTTGACAACAATGGGTCAGATACTTCTTAACATAACTCTGGGCATTTTTAACCATTTGTGGCCAATAAAAGCCTTGCCTCAGAATTTTTAAAGTCAATGTTTTTCCACAAATGTGTGTGCCACAAATTCCTTCATAAACTTCTCTGACAACATATTCAGCTTCATAAGGAGTAAGGTACTATAACAAGGACATGGACACTACTTGTTTGTATAAATGGCCATAAAGTAGACAAAAGCGAGCTACCCTACGCCTTATCAATCAAGCTATAGACTCATCATTAGGCAATGTACTTGATTGGAAATATTCAATTAAGGGTGTAGTTTAGCTCTGAAAGGATGGGCCAATATTTAACACTGTGCAGTTAATGTTAAGAGGGAGATCAACACAACTTGGTGCATCCAAAGTCTTAATATAAGTTGATGATTGAGAACTCATTTCTTAGGAAGAAGTAAGCTTAAAGAGATCGTTAGCTCATTGATTGTCGACTCTAAGAATTTTGTTGATCTAGAAAGACTTAAACTAAGCTTTCAAGCAAATGAATACTACAAAATAACAAGATAATTGTGGGTCTCTAATATCACAACTACCACAAAGCTAGCCAACAATGAGCTGAGAGTCATTGAAAACCCTTATAGCCTCCACCTTGAGGCCTAAAGCCAACCTCAAACCAAAAATTAGAGCTTCGTACTAAGCAGCATTGTTGGTACCTTGGAATTTAGATTGCAAAGTGTATTCACTTTTACAATCGTCTGAACCAATTAAAACTGCCCTAGCACTTGAACCTTCCACATTGGTGGCTCTATCTACATACAATGCCCAAAGGTGTGGAGGGGTTGTCTCTTCTGTTACAACGCGTATACATTCAACCACAAAATCTACCAAGGCTTACCTCTTAATAGCCACACGAGGTTCGAATGTTAATTCATATTCACTGAGTTCAATGGCTCATCCAATAAGTTCACTTGATACCTCTAGCTTTTGTAATATTTTGGTTTAAGTACCATTTTGGTCCCTCAACTTTTCACTTTCGTACCAAAATTGTACCTCAGCTTTAAAAAGCACCAAAATTATTGTCAGACTTTTATTTTCGGTACCAAAATGGTCCTTCCGTCAGTTAAATGACAGGTGGCTCGTTAAAATGCCACAAAATCATTAGACTTTTTGAATCTTAATGACGTGTAAATCCAACTATGAAAATTTTGTTACCATGGCATGTTTTTTTTGTACATATGGCATATTTTTTACACATCATATTATCACCTTTTAAACTTTCCCTTTTAATGGGGCCCACATGAATTTTTTTAACTTTTCTTATTCTTTCTCTATCTCCTCTCTTCCCCTCTTCTTCTTCCTCTCAAACCCAGATATGGGTTCTTTCAACCCAGTAAGGACAATCAATGGCATGTCCACTCTGGCCTTGGGCTTCCGAGTTTTGCTGCTTGAGCCGCCAGGTTCTCCGGCTGCTTAAGCCTGATGGAGCCGGCCTGCTCCCTGCTCCGATGACCCCATGAGGTCTGTCGGTGACTAGGCCCTTCAGGTGCCTTTTTTGGGTTTTTGTTTTCTGTTTGTTTTCTTTGTTTCATGTTTCTGTGTGGTGCCCGCTTGCCTGCAGGTCTCGTGGCTCCTTGCTCCCTCACGCAAATCTACCGAGCTGCATGCTGTAATTCCCAGATCTGGCGACCGTCGCCCAGATCTGGTCTTCGCCTGCACGGTTTCTCGTCTCGGCGTCCTGGAGTCTGGATGCAACCTCTACATGGGTAGATGGAATGGTGTCCCGCTGGATCGCTTGACCGAAGGCAACCTTGGTCCTTTGTGGTTGTTCGAGTGCACTCTGCACCTCCCTTCATCCTCTGCAATGGGTCTACTCTGGTTTTATCTCCAGCTGTGCGTTCACTATTTATTATCTTTCCTTATCCATTGGATGAGGTGTATTGTAGATGTCGTATGACGATGTTGTTTTATTGAAGCAATTTCTGTTATGTTTCAAAAAAAAAAAAAATTAATATCCCACCAGAAAGAAAAAAAATCAAGAAAACATTTCAATAGTTTCAGATTATTTTCTCTTCTTTGCTGCTGCATTGTTGTCTTCTTCGTCGTCTTCGTCGTCGTCACCTTTGTGTACTCCAACAAGTTCTGGATTTCTTCAAACGAAACCCAAATCTGGAGAGGAAGAAGAAGAGGGGAAGAAATGAGATAGAGAAAGAATAAGAAAAGTTAAAAAAAGTCATGTGGGCCCCATTAAAAGGGAAAGTTTAAAAGGTGATAATATGATGTGTCAAAAATATGCCACGTGTACAAAAAAAACATGCCATGGTAACAAAATTTTCATAGCTGGATTTACACGTCATTAAGATTCAAAAAGTCTAATGATTTTGTGGCATTTTAACGAGCCACCTGTCATTTAACTGACGGAAGGACCATTTTGGTACCGAAAATAAAAGTCTGATGATAATTTTGGTGCTTTTTAAAGCTGAGGTACAATTTTGGTACCAAAGTGAAAAGTTGAGGGACCAAAATGGTACTTAAACCTAATATTTTTCATAGCGGGGGATCTATAAAGACAACAATCTGATGAGATTGAAAGTAAGTTTTGAGTTTTCTAGCAACACAAACAAGGGCAAAAACTGCTTTCTCAACAATTGGGTATCTTCGTTCAACTCCTTGTAATACGTTGCTTGTGTACCAAATGGGTTTTTGCTGCCTATCTTTTTCTCTTAGTAGCACTGAGCTCACTACATCAATTATAACTCCCAAATACATATATAATGTTTCCCCTTTTATCAGCTTGGCAAGCAGGGGTGGTGAAGTTAAATAGTGCTTGAGCTTTTCAAAAGCTCGTTCACACTCCTCCATCCATTGGAAATCTTTTGGGTTTTTAAGAACCTTGAAGAATGGGAGATATTTTTTTGTCGACCTAGCAATAAACCTATAAAGTTGCCAAATGACCTGTTAAACATTGCACATCTCTAACTGTTTTAAAGGGCTCCATTTATTTGATGGCCTGGACTCTATCTGAGTTTAACTCATTTCCTTTCGTAGAGATTATGTAGCTAAGAAACTTGCCAAATTCTACTCCAAATGTGCATTTCAAGGGGTTTAACTTCATTTGTGTGTGATAGAGATTTTGAAAAGTCTCATTAAGATTAGCCAGACGGTCCTCAGGCCAAAGGCTGGTTATAATCATATCATTGACATACATTTCTATATTTTTACTGATTTGAAGTTTGAAAATGCGCTGGACTAGCTTCTTGTACATGGCTCCAGCATTTTTCAACTCAAATGGCATCATAACAAAGCAGTAAATGGCATCACCTGCATAAAATGCTGTTTTTTCTTGATCATCAAGCCATAATTAAACTTGGTGGTATCCTGAGCTCGCATTTAAAAAACTTATGCATTCATGACCTGCTACTCATTCTATAAGCTTCTCTACATTTGGGAGTGGATGAAGGTCTTTGGGGCATGTGGCATTTAAGTTGGTGAAGTTTATGCACATTCTTCATTTGCTATTGGGCTTCTTCATGAGCATTGGGTTGGAAAGCCAATCAAAATACTCTACCCTTCTAATGAAACCTGCCTGTAGTAATTTATTTATTTCCTCATCCATTGCTACTTACTTCTTAGGATAAAAAAGGCGATGCTTGTGCACCATTAGCATTCTAGTGGGATTTGTATTGAACTTGTGAATAGCAAATTTAGTTCGAACACTGGGTATTTTGTCTAATATCCAAGTAAAAACATCTTTATTCTTCTTTAAGAAGCTGAGGAGTTCATCCCACTTTTCCCTAGTAAGACGAGTTCCAATTTTTACTGTTCAATTTGGATCATTTGGGTCCAAAGGGACTATTTCAATGGGTTCTATGGGCTCAACCTTCTGCTTTTTTTTTTTGGCTGATGATTAATATTAGAAATACTTATTGTCCGCAATCCAAGCCAATTGGTATGAGGGAATTGAGAGGTTGAGGCTTGCCATTTAGTGTTAGGAATTTCATACATAAATGTAATTAAAAAAACTATTGCCTTCAGCTCACATAAGGTACCTTTTCCTATAATTGCATTGAAAGTAGCTTCCATTTTGACCACTAGGAAATTCATAGAAGCCATTTTATACCTCGGTTCAACTCCAACATAAATTGGCAAGTTGACTACCCCTTCCACTGGGACAAACTAATTATCAAATCCATAAATTATTCCATCATTTTTTTTTAGTGAAGCTGGACTTAGCTTTATTTTTTGGAAGCATTCCATTATAATATGTCCAGCGAGCTGCCTATGTTAATGAAAACTTTGTTTACGTAGTGATTCCCTATATGTACTACAGCGACAAAGAGATTAGCATGTGGCATAATGATGTCTAGTTCTTCATCTGGTCATATATAATCACTTGGACCAAATGTAATGGTTGCATTCTCCCATTCTACTTCCTCAAAAAGTCATTTTAGTGGTCATTTAGTCATTACTTGATGAGCATAAGCCTCACATCCTTTAGCACTCTAACCTCTTCTACCATTATAACAACCTTAAAATTTCTACTAGCCTCAGCAAGGAATGAATTTCCTTGGTACGCTCCCTAATTGGTTTCTGCTTGATATCCTCGTCCCTAGGGGCAATTATAATCTTGGACAAAATGAGTCTAGTTGGGCTACTGATGAAGGGTTTTTGTATGTGCTATTCTAGCATTCCACTCCAAGCTAAGAACACTAGCCTTTTTTTCAAATTCTTACAATCCTTAGTGTAATGACCATGCTTTATGTGATAATCACAATGCTTGTTTCTATCTTTCCTAGCTGGATCAGAGAACATTGAGGTTGGTCTCTTTATCTTGTGTTGTATCCGAGACAAAATATTCAACCTGGATGAGCTTAATGGAGTATAGTTTGTATATCTAGGAGTTGGATTGTAATTGCATATTTTGCCTCTCAGGTTGGCAATTTTTTGCTTCTTTTTATCTTCTTTCATACCTTTATGCTGCTTGGGGTCCCTGGTTTCTTTATCATCAGCTCGTTGTTTGAAGGACTGGAAATCTTCAAACAAGATAAAATTTACTAATCTATCATTAACCTCATTCAATGTTTTGGGTGGGTTCTCCAATAAGTCATCTAAGAAGCAACTTGGTTTTAGCTTGTGTAAAAGGGAGATAAACATATAGTGTCCGAAACATTGTCAATGTCTTGGGTAGTCTTTTTGAATCGTTGCATATAATCTTACAAGGGTTCGCCTTCTTTTTGATGAACCTGCATCAACTTTGTGGCTGTGCATTTTATTTCCCTTTGGCTCATAAATTTATTCGAGAATAATGTGATGAGTTAGGAATAGAAAGCAAATGAATGACTTAGGAGCTTATGATACCATCTTTCGGTAGTAGATTTCAGAGTAACTAGGAACACTTTACACATCATTGCATCAGAAGTATTCTTTATTTTCATAATGGCTTGATAAGTGTGTAAATGTTCATTTAGATTGCCTGACCCATAATACGTTTCTAAATGAGGGATTTTAAACCCTTCTTAATAAGGTTTTGAAGTAATTGATGAGCTAAGCGAGGCATTATTCATGTTACGGGCTTGTTGTTGTGACTTAGGGTTATTTAGCTCGCTTATAGATTTCTGAATTTCTTAAAGTTGCTTCCCTAGCTCAGCATTCTTTTTCAACGGTTCTTTATTCGACTTTGATGAGTTGGGTTTTGTATTAGGTTGTTCACTTCCCCTAGCTTTATGGGTATGACAACATTACTCAACATTGGGGAGCAATAAAGTGGAGTCCTTGCAGGATGTTCACCTCGGTTTAACAAGGGAATTAGGGGTTCTTTTGGGATAATATATGACAAAATTTTCTCATGGCCTTTTCCAAGACCCGGGTTCTTTCTTCAAGTTCATAATTTTGTGTAGTAGGCATGGGGGCCTCTGGTCGTATCAATGCATGAGCTGAGCGCCTAATTGACTGAACTCCCACAAACTCCCAATGGGGGTTCTTGTTCTTGTTCTTCAACCTGTGTTGCATAATGATGCACTAAAATCACCCTAACAAGTGTACTAGTCGCTTCAAGTAATATAATGATGAGAGAGTTTCGAATCCACGAGGATTGTGTCTAACTAAGTACCAAAATAATTAATCTAAATTTATTTGAACAATCAAAAAGGAAGAAACTTTAATTAAAAATAATAAAAAGAAATTAACAATTAAAATAAACCTAACGAAGATATGAGGTACTAAGGCATTGATTTCACCATAATCAATTAATATAAATTCTGGATTACCAAATTGTTGAGTGTTATTGCATGTGATGGCGGATTTCCCTAAATTAATTAACTAGCTTTCTCAAGTCAAGTTAATCCTTCACTTGTTTGTTAAATTAATTATATCTCTATGTAATTTTAAACAAACTTATGAGCATTAAATTTTATGGAAACCTCTAGTTTAAGAAGGGGGAGCTCCTAACTCTCTTCTCTTCCTCCACTACCATATGTGAGTTAATTGCCTCTCGGTCTCATAGTCTAGCACACGGTTTATATTATTATTGGTCTAATCTACGCAATTCTTTCTCAAGTCCATGCATAAATCACTAAATCAATTGAAAGGTGATTAGACTTCCAATGCATTAAGTTCAATAATATAAATTCCTCATGCAAATAACTTTAATTGAAAGCATAAAATCCCTAAATCCATATTGAATTGATTAGGCTACATCGTAGCCCTAGTAGAATAAATCAGTTCATAATAAAAATAATAAAATATGAAATCAAAGTTATGAACATCCAAATATCAAACAATAGATAAAAACCCAAGGAAAAACAAAACCCAATTTGCGAAAATCGAACTCCTTGATCTTCTATTGTTGATGGAACCTCAATCTTGATCTCTATTAATGCCCAAAAGAAGGCTGCCACTAGCCTCTCAAAACTCTCCTAATTCTGAATTTGGATGAGTATTTATAGGATTTTAGAAACCCTAATTGAAATAGAAGTAGGACTTGGAACAGAAATGGGAAACTGAATTTTGGATGCTGATCGCATGGTGCTGACACTTCGAATTACGTGTTGACACAAAATAGGAAACAGAATCTGATTTTGGACGTTTAACGCATGGTGTCGACACCCCGGTTACTTGTTGACACTACACCGTGTCGGGTTTTTGGCCTCCTTTTGCAATTTCTTCAATGGTAAAATAGCAGATCTGGTCCTCCAGATTTTGTACTATGAGCACTTAGATCCCAAAACTCAAGATTCATTCATTTAGGTTCCAAATGGCCGCCCTTCTTCTTGCAATTCAGTCCCTCAACTTTTAGAAAATATTCAATAAATCCTAAAAACTCTTATTTTATGCATTCAAATCTTTTTCTGCACAAAAAATGAAAATCATGTAAAGTCTCATAAAACTCAGTAAAATCTCATAAAACTAATCCAAATATCAATAATATCAAGGCAACAATTCCACATTAATATGTATACAATTTCAACTCATCGCATAACCTATTAAGGTTCTCTCATAATTAGAACTGTTGTCCTGTACTTCATCTGCTCCTCTTATGAATAGGTTATCGGGTAAATGTCTAAACTCATTGGGTTCAACTCTTGAAGAATGGGGTTGATCATCCATTTGACTTGCGTGAGGTGGTTGAATTCCCGTAAAAATCCTCATCGTAGCTATGTCATTGGTAAAGCTAGGTAACTGTTTTGTTCAAGGTTTCCCACAGACGACACTAATTGTTTGGGCAGCTTCACGAACTCACGTATTATTAAGGTTTTGAATTGCTTTAGTACCTAAAAATTTTGAGGAAATATCCTCAAGGAAGTATTTCCTCAAGAAAGACATTTTGACACTCAAATTAACAATATTCAATATTTTAGAGAAAAAAGCTCTCAAGACTAAAATATTGCAAAAAGAGAAGCATAGTGGAGTTATTACCTTACATGAAGGTAGATGGGGAATTTCTAGCCCTCATTTATAACACTTGTACCACATATCCTTGATTAATAGGTCCATGTGTTGATGAGCACGTGGGTAAACCATTGATACTCTTTTTGTCTTTGGGCTTCCCTTGGGCTTTTTGGCCAATGTTGGGCCAACTACCCCAATAGTTCTAATCTTTCATTCTTTAATATATTTTTGCAATTTATTCTTGTTGAAGTATGTTCCCACTTGCTGGGGTGTGCTGGTGATGTAGGTGGATGAGTTAGCAGTGGTGGTGATGTGGAGGCTGACTAGATTGACACCCAAAGAAATGAGGAAGGGTTATTCTTTCGGCAGCACTTGTCTCACGTGCGCATGGCTACATGCTACGGGCCATCCCATTCTGCCTAGCGATGGTATTCCGCAGCAAGTTCCCCAGTGAAGCTTATAGCAAATGGCTCTCATGTTGTGTAGGAAAGGTGCAACAACCTTTCTTTCAAAAGTCCTTCAAGAATGAAAAGGGATAAATTTAAGAGCAGTGATGGGAGAAGGAAGGATGTCCACTTGGGGATGCTTATAGATGGAGCACTTAATCCCGTCCTTTGAAGCTAACCACACATCTTGACCGTTTAATGCTCAAGGAAGACTACCAAGAAGTTGAAACTATAACATGCTTCTTCTCTACCAGGTTATTCTGCAATTCTGGAAATATCCTACGGTGCTGGGAATATGGAAAATGGGGAAGGAATGGTGAATTCCGAATGGGTTTTCATCGTGCAAGATGGTTGAATGGTTGGTTAAGGATGAAAGGATTTTCTAGAGGAGATCAATGGAGGCTTGATACATGTGTTGACAGACTGGAGAAGGCTCTAATGTTAAAAAGAGCTTCTCATCTCCTTTCCCCATGATTTTCTGTCTGTCTCTTTAAGAATAAAGGAACTGGTCATATATACATGGCCAATGGCACTTTTGTAATTCAACTTAATGGGTCAAAGATGTGCAGATGGGTCTAGATGAGTTGTCAAGCTTTGAATGGTTTCGGGCACTATTGGCGGCTTCCTTGGTAATAACATCATGAGTTGCCTATCGGTTCCAACGAAGGACAGAAAATTGCCTATCATTGGAAATTCTCCCAGCCATATGAAACTCCATTTTTGGAGATGTGCTTAAGTGCAATCGGTGGGAAGACCACCTGCACAGTGATTTGGTGAGTTCCCCAAGCTCTGTGCGAGATCTTGGGAGATTCTGCAAGCAAACAATGATTTTTGTAGCAGTTTCCAAAGTTATAAAACCTGTGCAGCCACCCTTGCATTAAATATGACTGCAAGTTGCTAATGGTGATCCAAATGGCATCTCCGGTTGCTCTTCAACGAGATTCCCAGTTTCTTGTTAGCATCAAAGGGTACTATTCTGGGAACTAAGTTTGCTTCCATGCCTTTGCCACTTGGCCTTTTCTGACGAAGTTGGGCAACATTGCCAGCACCATGTTTCGCTGGCACTGATGCTTTGCTTCTCCAGATGGGCAGCGTTCACCCATCCACGCTTGCCAAGCCACTACTCTCACAGTTTATCCTAGGTGATTTCCATGAACTTGGATTCATGAGCTTGTGTTCATCTGTGATAATAACAACACACATATGAATATATGTCTGGGCGTCTCAAATATAGGAAACATGTGAGTATATGCAACGAAGTTTATGTCGAAAGAGATTGTGTGAACAAATGTTCGCTGATCCTACTTATTTGCCAACTGAGGCAGGCACTTATATATTGTTGATGACATGGCTGGCGTCACGCCAGATGTTGACGACCACTTAAGATTTCTTTCAAAACAAATTGAAAAATTAAGTGTGAAAATATAAAAAAGAGGGAGTCGCCACTCGTCCAAATTATAAGGTGGGACAAGTCACTTAAAACGGGTCTGCGCAGAGATCGAGGTTCAGGGGTTCGGTTAGGAGTGAAGAAGGGTATACGCGCACCTCACAATCCTCCATTTAAACACGGTTGCATACTTTAACATTGGGGGTTTTGATTCAACTTATTTATTACATTTATGTTTGAGTCTTAATAAGTAAACTTAAAAAAAGAGATAAACCGAATCAAAACATTTTTTTTATTTTTGGACTGAAATAGACAAAATCAAGAACATGCATGCACAATAAACACAAATAAAAATTAAAGCGACTAATTTGACTAAATTCGAAACATGAAGGACTGATTTGATTAAATTCAAAACATAAAGGACTAATTTGAAAAGAGTTAAAACCCATGGACTGAATTGCTTA